GCATGTGCGTGGGGTCTGCTTAATGAAAAAAAGGAGGGAAAAAAAAGGCAGGGTTAAAAATCACTTTTTGGCATTTTACATTCATTTTCATTTTAGCTACATGTAGATGCTAAACTTTCTATTGAAAATTCTTGCCATCTTTTCCTTTTCTTTTTTTTTTTTTTCAGTTAAATTCCTTAGAAAATTCAAAGTAGCATTAAAAAAAATAAAAAAAAAAATCCAGGTGTTGCCTGTATGAATCTCTTCATCATCCAAGGATCTCTTAGCTGGGCTCTCAGGTGATCTGGTATAACAAGGGGTGTGTCAGAATGCCAAGTCCTCACGGGGAAGGCTGATACTTTTAGTAGTTATGCACATGCACTTACACATTGCATGCAGCCATATAAGGCTTTCTGTGGATTCCACATGGAAATTGTATCCAGGGCCTGCTGTTTTTCCATCTCATACCTTTGCACAGCAATTTGTATCCATCACAAAGTTTATGCAAAATGTCTGCTCAGCTAAACAAAAGCAAAATTTTGAGTGGGTAGCATTTTGCACAGGGGCAAACAAATGTACCAAGTGAGGGGTGGTTAGGAAATACCCCAAAACACCTGCTCCACGTGGCTCAAATATTGCATACCCGCAAAGGGAAGAATGAAGGAAATTTTACAACACACTTGATGTTATTTTACCCATAAAGATTTTCTCTGAATTGATGGAAAATGGTTTATGAGAGAGCCATCAACCACAGGAAATAAACAGATATAGACAAATTGATCTGCCATAGGAGTTTGGTGCAAAGGGCATGAAACTCGGGATGTTTGCAGTGACATTTCACAAATCTGATAATAACAACTTAGATGTATCTGGCACTTCTCAGACAGAAAAAGTAGATTTCAGGGTGATTTATGGACTGTGAAAATATGAATATGGATGTCTGGGTCATTCAGTCTCTGGTGCAAGGCAGTGTGATGCCTTGTCGGAACAGAAGACATTAGGATGCCCTGCACTAGGGCAGAGGGTGAACATGTCCAGTAGATCCCTGCCTTATACCATAACAAAAAAGACTAAAACCATTCAGACAGGGTCCTACCCCTCATAGCAATGCTCCTGGCATCCCCATCATCAATACGAGTGTATTACCAAGGATGGAAGTGGTGCTAAGCCAGCCTGAATCTGGCCAGCACAGCAGGCACACTGCTGCTCCCACCAGGAGGGATCCTTTCCCCTTTTTGCCCCTTCAGATGAGAGCTGGGATGAGCGAGACCCCGAGGCCAGCTGTCACGATGTTGCTCTGACATGTGGGAACACAGGGACAAATCAACATTTTCTGTGCAAAGCACAATTTAAATCATTTTGATGGCTCTGAGGCTCCTTTTCAGCCGTTTGGGTGGTTCTTAGGTTATCTCCATGACCACACGGCAACAACCGTCCTTCCTGAAGGCTGACTGCTCACCTGGCTGCTCAGCTGCCCACTGGCCCCTCACAAAAATGTCACAACACCTTGGCCACTTGCAAGCACACGCATGAAGGAGGCGCAGGTCTCAAAGATAATGAAGTTCCAGGGGCCCACGCATATCAGCAACTCAAATTTATCTTCCAGAAGAGAGAAATGCAGGAGGGACACAGCCACAGGCCACTGGGCTGGGCAGCATGGGCGCTGCTCCCAACCCTCCTGCCACCCTGTAGAGGTGGCACGAGGAGCACGGAGGAGAAATGGGAGGCAAGGGGATGGCAACCAGTGAGTAAGGCATGAAGATTCACGAAACCGGGCTTCGTTAGTCCTGGTGTTTGCACAGTGAGGTGTTTCTAATGACAACAGCTGGAAATTCTGTTCCTTTTATTACAGGCCTCTAAGGTGGCGGCAGTAGGAGCAGAGCTGTGTATGGATAAAATTGAGGATTGACACGGCCAGGGAAGGAAGCAGGGGGCAGGCACAGAGAGTGCATCCAGCATAAAGGCTAACACCAGGCAGAGACAAAAACAGAACAACAGGCAGAGACAAAAACAGAAGGAAGTGCGTAACAGGGACTGGGCGATAACAAGGTGAGGAGAGACAGGGGGAGTGCAGAGGGAGGAAATACATAGGAAATTGAAATCTGGACTGGCATCCTATCCACATGCAGCCCCGTTATCTCTGTCCTTACAATGGAGAGTGACAAGGCAGGGCTTTCCCCCTCGGTCTGCATGCTGCCCATGCACGTGCGAGTGCAGTTAAGATTGCCAAGACGCCGGGAAGCTGTTAATCATTCAGTCATTTACTTGTTGCTCTTTTCTATGCATTTCTGTGTTTAGGATTTGATTATTATTACTATTATTATTTTTGGTGAGTGGCAATAAGAGGGAGGGAGGATTATCCGTCAGCAGCAAATAGCAGTTTTTCATGAGCAGCTGTTATCTGGGTTCACTGGGGAGTTATCTAGCCATATCACATACTTAGGGAACAGAACGGGCTGAAAGCCCTGCTGCAGGGAGGACAACGTGCTGCCTCCAAGACAAAGAAGAGGCAGAAGACCTTCCTGTGAACACTTGGCTCCTCCTCGAGCAGGCCTAGCTCCGAACAGTGCCGCACTGCTTCGTTTCAGCCCGGGCTAACACCGGTCCTGCTGCACGCAGCTGTGCCCCAGCGGGCAGGAGCGTGGGCTGAGGCACCACGCTGCTGCTTTAGCACAGCCACGGGCACCTGGCAGAAAAGCAAGGTATGGAGGCTTAGCAGAGGAGACAGCTGGCCTGGGATGGGATGCTGCACGGCCACCTTGAGCTCCAGTTCAACTTCATAATCCCTGTCACACTAGGCAAGGTCAAACACACAGCAGGTAATTATCACGGACCGGCTGAGGATTCAGCACAGCTTCCCTCCACCAGCTCCTCTTTGGAGTTGAATCAACTGTCACCACTGCTCTGCCTGTTTGTGTCCACAGGCAGGCTTCTAAAAAACACAGCCTCAGCAACAGGAGCCAGAGGGAACTGTTCCAGCCAGAGGGAACCATGCAGAGTGCCAGGAGGGGGCTAAGGCTTAGATCTAGCCTGGGGACACCCAGCATGAGGCAGCAGCAGTATGGCAAGCGCCACAGCCCTGGCCACTGGCCACGGGATGGAGCAGGTGTGGGACCACTGCTGGGGTTGCTGCCCCAGGCAGTGAGCAGATCACGGGCTTTGGAGCAGGCAGGGGTGGGGGAACAAGTGACAGAGCCCCCAGCAAAAGCCCTGGGGGCAGAGCATGCCAGGAGACAGGGATTCACAGGCCAGGGCACAAGGAGAGCTGCCTGGCCGGTAATTCCAGGGCATTCTGCAAAAAGTTTGGGCACAACCTGGCCATAAGCCCAGACGTTGAAAAAACAGCCTGGAAAGTGAGGTCTCACCAAGCCCATTAGCAGCCTGTGAGTTCCTCTGTCCTGGATCTCTCCCAGGGCTTGCAGGATGCGACTAACCCAATTTTCCTTCCCATCTCCCTCCTCTTCAGATCCCCTTTCCTTCTTCCAGCAAATGAAGAGGTACGGGGGGGGGGGGGGAGGGGGAGGGCATGCAGATCTGAGACACTCCACAACGATGCTAGAGTTGGTCTTCCTCATCTTGTGGCGACTCAGCCCGCTCACGTATGGAGCAGGCAAGAGGCAAACAGGCAGGGACGAGACCTGCTGGAGCTTTTCAGGAAGAGGGGATGGGACCCAGCCAGCCCACACAACACCACAATGGTCCCACCCCGCTGCAAACACCGTGGCTGCACTTTGCACAGTTCGTGGCCGAGCGCCAGTTTAATATCTCCTCCAACAGCCTGCCACTTCCTACTCCTGCACAGGTTTTGGAGCTGGTTTTTATTTATTTCCTATTTGTTACTGCTCCGAGACCCAGTGACAGTTTCTCAGCAGCTTCCCAGGTGCCATTTGAGAAGCACGGCTCTGACCAGCCCTCTCCTGTTATTTCAGCAAGAAGCCCAATGCACGCAGCATTTAATGAAGCTGCACTCAAAGTGCCAACAGCAGCTAATTAACTGCTCCTTGCAACGTTGCCTGTCCACGTTTGACTGATGGAAAGTCACCTACCAAGCCTAAACAACTTGCCTAAAGCTTACGTGAGCCATTCTTCTAATCCATCCCTCTTTTTAATAGATCATCTCTATGTTATAGGGATATATAGTCAAGGCAAATTTGGTGTCTGGGCGCAGGGAAGCCCCTGATGCTGCAGGAATGCGACTCCCTGTTTGTGCACAAGGAGCGGGCTCCCGTTTGGGTGTTTCTGGGGGAGGAAGGGAGAAATTTGGGGTTTTGGTGGAGAGCCCCAGAGGGGGAAGAGACCTTCAGAAAGCGCGATCGCGCACAGATTGACCAGAGAGGGGTAAACCCCGAAGTACTCTAAGTTCACTCCAGATGTTGCCGGGGGTGGTGGGGACATATTTTGGGCCCCACAACGACAGGAGCGCTCGGGAGAGGGGAACCCCGAGCCCCACAGCAGCTGCATCCCCGCTGAGGGGACGAGGGGTGGCGATCTTCCCCTTCCCGACCCCTTCGGGGGGTGCTTCCTCGACCCCCCCCGGGGCCGTGCCGGGCATCCCCGGGCCTCCAGGCTGGGCACAGCCGGGGTCTCCCCCGCTCTCCGATCCCGGCCAGCGATTCCCAAGGGCAGCCCGCGGCTCGCATCCCGGGGGCTGGAGCGGAGCCCCCGGCCCGACCCCGGTTCCCCCGTGAGGGGAGCCCCCTGGGCTCTGCCTGGCTGGCGGGCAACACAATACAGAGCCGGGGAAGAGAAAGGGAGAGAGAAAGTGCGGCTGGTTCCTCCGCCCGGCCCTCTGCCTGCTGCTCCCGGCAGGAGACAGCGCTGCAAGCGGATCCTGACCGGGGGCAGGGGGTGGAGAGAGCAGGAGGAGGAGGAGGAGGAGGAGGAGGACGGAGGGAGGGAGGGAGGGAAAGAGGGAGGGACGGGAGCCTCTCTCCTTTCCTGGGCTGTTCCTTTTCAGTTTCCTGTCTCGCATTGTGCTCACAGCGGATATGTGCTGCGCCTACAGGTGTGTCCCCTCCTCGCAGCTTTTCTCCGGCTCCCCGGCGTAGGCTCCGGCTGGCGGATCGGCAGCGCCATGTGACGGCCGCTCGATCCCTCTCGGGGCTCTTTCTCTCCTCTTTCCCTGCCTCCCCTCCTTCCTCTCCCCGAGGTGGGGCCCGCGGGGAGCAGCGGGCGGCCGCCGGGGGCTGCCGTAGCGCCTCCGCCCAGCCCCGGGCTGCGGGCAGCCGGCCGCTCGGGCAGCTCCGGGGCTCCGCGGGGCTCCCCCCTGCCTGCACCTGTTGAAGGTAACGCAGCCCCTTCCCCTGCCCTGGGGGTAGCGGGGGGCGAGCTCCTCCTCCTTCTCCCCTTCTCCCCGGGATCGCGGGGTATCGGGCAGGGCGGAGGGACCGGCACGGTATGGCACGGCTCGGCACAGCACGGCTCGGGGGGTTGCGCTGCTCCTCGCCCCCCGGCTGGCTTCGCTTTCGGGGCTCCGCACTTTGAGCGCGGTCCTTGCAGGGGCCGCGGCGCCCCCCGAGCCCCCGCAGCTCGGCCCCGGTTCCCCCGCTCCGGGCGCGGCCAGCGCTGGCCCCGCTCCCCGCCGGCTCCGAGCTGTTTGGGGTTTTTCCTCTCGTCTCTTCGCTCAGGCAGCTTTAAACTTTTCTTTCCGAGCTGTTAATTACATACGGGGTGCTTCGCTCGCGTTCCGTGCGGGAGAATGGAAATGCGAGCTTGGAACATGGGTGACTCAAAGCTTAGTTATTCGGCACCGCTGAACACCTCTGCCTTCCCTTTTTTTTTTTATTATTTTTTTTTTTTCCGTGTCGCGATGGGCTGTACCTGTGACTTGCGGCTGTCTCCCCACGGGAGGCTGGCGCAGCCTCGGCGCCACCCGGGGAGGGGAGGGAGCGGCCCCGGTTCGGGTCCTTTTGGGGTTAGCCGGCTGCTGGGGTGAACGCAGAGCGAGCTGCAAGTTTCTTGAGGCTCTGAAATCTCGTGGAAATCTCTTTGTTGTCGGTGAGTTGCGAGGCTGCGGTCCTGTCCCTACCGCCATCCAAAGAAAAACTTGCTCGTGGGGGAACTTGGTGCTTTTGTAGCTAACGCTGTTACCTTGAATGTGATGATTAACTTAGTGAACACCAGAGGGAACTCTCAATAGGTAATTCATTCAAGAGTGATATGTGCTTGTCCTACTATTTATGTTCTCATTACAATGGAATCTAGAAGGAAGCTAGGGTCGGTAGGCAGTGGGCTGCCGGGACGTACCTGGGATCGCCTCGAGTTTTTTGAAGGGTGTCAGCCCCAAAGCTGAGCTGGAAGTTTTCTCTCTCGCCTTTCCAAAGCTCGAAATACATAACCGGCCTTGCAGGAGCGGGGTTGTGAGCCGGGTGGGTGATCCATTAGCTGTGAAGCTGGGAGCGAGCTCACGAAGGCACTTGGGGCCAGCGCTCCGTACCCAGCCCACCTCTTGGGTCGTGAGACTGATCCTGCGCGCTCCGGTGCGGGGGCTGCTGCCTGTGTTGGAAAAGCCAGAACAGAGCACGCTTCCAGACAAAACAAAAGGGAGGAAGTCTGCTCCCGAGCCTGGCTTGGCTTGTCCTCCTTGCCTTGAATGCTTGTGGTTCCCAAGAGCTGGTGAGAACCTAACCTAAAAGAAAGCGAAGTAGAAAACTATCTTCCTTAGAGGCTGTTAGTTAAACCAGCAGAGAATGTAAACGATGGCTGTGTTTGGGAGAGGAGTTTGCAAGGTGAGTTCTGGTAACAAAAGCTTTTTCTATGTTCTGATGCAACTGTACAAACCTGCTGTTGACCAAGCAAAATGCGATGCTTTTAGTAATAAAGTGAACCCCCAAACATGCACCTGAACCTTTGGTTGCTCTTGGTAATCTGCTGCAACAGTTTTGTTACCAGACTTCCTTGATACTCCCAGATTGCTGACGACATGGGAAGGACAGCATAATAAATACACTTGTGACACTGACTTATGCTCCGGGAGCTGAAGCATCCAGCTGTTCATCCTGTCCCTTTGCCAGAGGTTACTTTGCCATTCAGCCTTGTTTCCTATTGGAGCTTGAATCTGCCAGAGTTTACAGCTTGGCATATGAATGTAAACTGCATTTTATGGCTGTTCGTGTTAGCACGTAATGTTGTCAAGTCCGGTAGCGTGAGCCTCTTGCTCCTCTCTCTGCTGGCAGAGGGACAGGGCAAACAGCTGGGGTCAGCTAGCTCAGGCTTCAGTTGTGTGTTCTTCATGTATGTTTGTCTGAAATGGTGTTTCCCCTAGAAAATGCAACTCAAACGAGCTACCTCCGTGTAGAGTCTCAGTGGGTAGTGGTAGCGGGGAGGCAGCTCTGTGCAGGCAGATGTTGTGCAATGGTCTCAGTTGTGGCACTTGGCTTTCTGGGTTTTAGAGGAACACAGCATGCTGTGCTGGAACAGCCTTCCTCTTCCCATCCTTCCTCCCACCTCCCACCTGGATTCTGGCAATTAGCAAGTGAGCAACGTGTTTCTTCTAGACAAATCTTGCTTTGTACATCTAACATAAGAACCTATATATATATATATATATATGTATATAATATGTAAAATGTCTTCACAGAGGGCACAGCCCTTGTCTGCCCAAACCTTCCTACAGATATTATTGGAAGTGGCATAAAGGCTTTCCAAAATCAGGGGCTGTTTGCCATGCATGCAATAAGCTCCCCAAAAACGAATCTGCATTTTGAAGGTAGCTCTCTTCCTGAATGCTTGCTAACAACAAAAACTTCCAGTGACTTGTTGCTAACATGTTTGGATTCTAGTTCGTTTATGAAAACAAACAAACAAACAAACAAACAAACAAACAAACTTGTACATCTGTATATATTTAATGAAGATATAATACTAATCATAAATAATTCTGTGATGCCTCGATTGTGGAAATTTTCATGCACTTTTAATATATTTATTATATGAAGTGCTGAATGAAGATATGTATTACACTAGTGCCACATTCTGACTATTGAGTTACAATTGTAAAATTAAGGTAGCAAGCTTAAATTAGGGTTTGCAACTTTAAACTCTTGCCAGCAAGCAGTTAATGGCAAACGTTAACTGCTAGTAAAGTAATTGCTACAGTTCTTTTACTGTCATTTTGTTCTCACTTTCCTCCAGTCAGACTGTTCTTTAGACATATAATGAATATTCCCCAAAATAGCTTGGCATTGTCGCTTATGCAATTCCTCATCAGAACCAATATGCTGATGAGCTAATGCGCACTTGATTAAACGTGCTTGATTTATGCAAACAAAAGCTGTAGGTCCTTCTTTAAGTAAAGTTAGCACCTGTTAGCGAGATGAGAGTCTAAATAATGAAAATGGAATTAAGTAAACAAACAACACAAATGTGGTGTTCCTCCTTTACCTTTGCCTTTTCAACTCAGTGGTAGATATTTACTTTGCCTTTTCTTGTAGGTTTGCTCAATCACTGCAGGAACCTCAGTTTATAGTGAAGGGAGGATCCACTTGTATGTAAATTGTTTCCATTAGAATTAAAAATAATAATAATAATAATAATAATAATAATAAGGCCATTATTAGCTATAATAAAGCCAAGAACAACTAGAATTAGTGGAATATTACTTTAAGAGTTTTGTTTAAACACAAAGCCAGCTTGGACTTGATATTGCTCTCTTAATTCCTGTTTAAAAAACAAACAAACATAGCCTGAGTAAGGCATTTAGGGGGTGTCTGTTTTAAAAATGCAGTATTTGAACAGTAAGTGCTTTAACCTCCTGCTCCTTGCTTGGTCAAAACCTACATAGACAAACTGGAAATAAGGAACTGAAGAAATTGGTTAAGGTAGTCATTTTATCTAACCATCAGTGGCTTAGTGTTAAAAGGCTCCCTAACTCTCTAGAAAACTGCTCGGATTTGACTTTAGAAAGAGGTTGTGGAGTCCATGCCCCTGGAGACTCTAGAGAAGGCAATGGATGGAGGAGGGAGAGGGCATGTGCTTGCCCCAAGCCCTGGGGCAGCAGGATGGACTGGAGAGCTGCAGAGTTCTTGCAGGGCTGAGACTTGTTTTCTTTAGGCAGATAGTAGATGGCTTATCTGTTAATAACAAGTTCTCAGTTTCTGTCCCTGTAGAATAGAATAGATACTCTGTCTCTGGGAATAGATAACTTCTGGATCTAAGTTTCTTTCTGTCTCAGATGGTTAAGGGAAGACTTGTTGACATAATACCCAAAAGAGTTCGTGCTTAACGAATGTCAGTAATGACGATTAAAAAAAAATACCGGAGACAACCAGTCCCTGCTCGATTACTCAGGCGGAGGCTGCCGTAGAATTTGTCCCCAGGAATGTGTCAGCAGAGCTGTGGACACCACCACGTGCTCATTGGGCTGTTCGGTTTCTCTTTGGAATTTGGATTCCGTGAGCTGGCAGTGGCGCCAATACAGTTTGATAATTAGCTCCGTGCAGAGCTCCCTGGGTTCAGGAGCTGTGGTGCTTGTCAAAGGACAGAGTCCACCCAGCACCTTCCGAGGTACTTTCGACCTTACTCCACCTTTCTGTTTAGCTTCCAAGCTTCTGTCACTTTCTGAGGAAGTGTCTTCTTCAAACAGTTAGTTATCTAATCATAACCTTATTTCTAGTGTTTTGCTAGCCTTTCTTAGTAACTGACATTTTTAACATCAGGCCACAAGTAAAGAGTAGGGACATTTTGGTAGTTTGAATTTTAGATTTTGTATTATTTGACTGTCATGGTTTTCTTTATGTTGCAGATACATCATCTCTTTCTTTCTTTCTATTAAAGTTGATTAAAATCCTCAATCCTACAGCAAACCAGAAAGCTGCAGATAAATTTTGCCCTGAAGCCATCCTTCCTGTGCTGTGTTGCTGGCTCTGCACAGGTAGACCCATCAAGAGTGTTCTGGTGGATGAAATACATAGGAACTGTCAGAGATCAACATGACTTTAATTTTTTATTTTATTTTTTAATAAAATCCACATGACTGTTAGCACTTAAACTGCATTGCTACAGAACTTGCATTTTTTAGAAAGATGTGTTTGTGCTTATTGCTGGATAGACCTGGCTAGCATCTTGCTAGTCAAGCTGGATTAGTTCTACGTGTCAACTTGGTTTGAAGGAAGCTCTCATAAACCCGACACTAATCTTCCTATGTCTAGAGATCGTTAGGGTGATAGCTGAGTCTCCTGGAGAACATAGGAATCAAGCTGTCTCACACTTCAAGCTTAACCTCTTGTCTATACTAATGGGATGTGTTTTAAATATATAGAAATTTCAGGAGTAAACTCTTCACATCTTTTTCCCTAGGGCTCCTATTTATCTTCTGTATAGTTTAAGAAGAGATAGTGCCTCTTTCTGACAGATGTGTATACCTATATATACCTGTATATAAAGAAGATGTAGCTCTTACATTACTAATTGCATCACTACTCAGAATTTATGAAGGACCAGTTCTTTAATCCATGTTTGCCCAGGGGGAAGATAGTTATTATTCAAATGTCTTCAGACAGATGAAGAAAGTAAAGGATGGAAAAAATAAAATACATTGATTAGGTAAGAAGGGTACAATGGAAATACAAGGTGAGGTCTGCCATCACGAATCAGAAAGGTCAATTTAGTTATCTTTTGCTTGGACATAGCCTAGGCATACACAGCAAATAAACGTTGCTTTCCTGAATCATTCAAATTAGTAGGTTACGGTTTCCTTCAGCTTGTCATAGTTATTTAGTCATTACTTTGTCTTTAATGATTCTGGTTGTGTTCATTGCAACTGGAAGTCCAAGATGTTCAGCTGCTCTCTTGAATACATAAGGAAACTTAATTTGACATACCTTAATATATTGTTGCAATGTGTGTTAAACTTGTGTGTTATCTTCATTTAATCAGTATGAGACAAATCGGTAGAAACTTTATAGAATCACAGAATGGTTTGGGTTGGAAGAGACCGTAAAAGTCATCTAGCTTGAACCCCCCATGCTATGGGCAGGGACATCTTCCACTAGACCAGGTTGCTCAAAGCCCCATCCAACCTGGCATTCAGGCTCATCCAACGCTTCCAGGGATGGGGCATCCACAACTTCTCTGGGCAACCTGTTTCGGTGTCTCACTATACTCTGAGTGAAGAAATTCCTTCTAACATCTAATCTAAACCTTCCCTCATTTAGTTTAAAGCCATTACGCCTTGTCCTATCACTACATGCTCTTGTAAAAAGTCCAGCTTTCCTGTAGGCCCGCTTTAGGTACTGTAAGACCACTCCTTGGAGTTTTGGAGTCTCCTTGGAGCCTTTTCTTCTCTAGACCCCAAGTTTCTCAACTTGTGCTGCTCCAGCCCTCTGATCATCCTCCTGGTCCTCCTCTGGACTCATCTTCATACTTCCATGTTCTTCTTGTGCTGGGGGCCCCAGAGCTGAACACAGTACTTGAGGTGGTGTCTCACAAGAAGAATCACCTCCTTTGACCTGTCAGTCACACTTCTTTTGATGCATCCCAGTATGCAGTTTTCTTTCTGGGCTGCAAGCACACATTGGCAGGTTATGTTGAGCTTCTCATCCAAGTCCATCCCCATGTTTTTCTCCCCAGGGATGCTCTGAATCTATTCTCTGCCCAGCCTGTATTCATAGAATCACAGAATATCCTGAGTTGGAAGAACCATGGAGTCCAATTCCTGGCTCAACACAGGACCACCCGAAAATCAGATCACGTGTCTGAGAGCATTGTCCAAACGCTTCTTGAACTCAGGCTCAGTGCCATGACCACTGCCCTGGTTGTTCTGGTGCCTGACCACACTCTCAGTGAAGAACATTTTCCTAACATCCAGCCTGACCCTCCCCTGTCCCAGCTCCATGCTGTTCCCTTGGGTCCTGTCACTGTCCCCAGAGAGCAGAGCTCAGCACCTGCCCTTCCGCTCCCCTCGTGAGGGAGCTGCAGGCCACCATGAGGCCTCCCCTCAGGCTGCTCTGCTCTGGGCTGAACAAACCAAGGGACCTCAGCTGTTCCTCATATGTCTTCCCCTCTAGGCCCTTCAACATCTTTGTAGTTCTCTGTGGGACATTCTTTTTTCTGTCCTTCTTATACAGTGGTGCCCGAAACTGCATATGGGACTTGAGGTGAGGCCACATGAGCTCAGAGCAGAGCAGGACAATCTCTTCCTCGACCACCTGGCAGTGCTGTGCTTGATGCACCCCAAGGTACAGCCCTTTTGGCTGACAGGATGCACTGCTGATTCCTGTTCAGCTTGCTGTTGACCAGAACCCCCAGATACCTTTCTGTGGGGCTGCTCTCCAGCCTCTTGTCTCCCAGTCTGTATGTATAGCCACAGTTGCCCCTTCCCAGTTGCAGAATCCAGCACTTGGTCTTGTTAAATTTCATATTGTTGGTGATTGCTCAGCTCTCTAATTTGCCAGGATCTCTCTGTAAGGCCTCTCTACCCTCAAGGATGTCAACAAGTCTTCCTTATTTAGTGTAATCCACAAACTTACCTAGTATACCTCCAAGTTCTGCATTCAAGTCATCTATGAAAATATTAAAGAGAACTGGCCCTAAAATGGGAATCTCACTAGTGACTAGCTGCGAGTCTGATGCAACCCCATTTACTATAACCCTTTGGGCCTCACCTGTCAGGCAATTGATCACCCATCTTATTATGTATTTATCATATTCAGCTGTATGCTGAACGTTTTGTCCAGAAGGATACTGTGAGGTACATCAGTCCATCTTATTGAGTATGCATGCTTGGGATTGTTCCGACCCTGCCCTTAGTGAAGCCAAGTTGGCTGTCACCAATCACCTTCTTATTTTCCATGTACCTTAGCATAGTTTCCAGGAGGGTCTGCTCCATGATCTTGCTGGGCACAGAGGTGGAACTAACTGGCCTGTAGTTCCCTGGGTCTTCCTTTTTTCCTTTTTCAAAAATGGGGGTTGTGTTTTCTCTTTTTTTTTTTTTTTTTTGTTTTCAGTCAGTGAGAACTTAATTAAACTACCACAACTTCTCAAATAAGATGGACAGTGGCTTCAGTGGCTTATCAACTTCACCCACCCGTTCACTCAGGACCCACAGATGCATCTCATCTAATCCCATGGACTTGTGTATCTTCAGGTTCTGTAGCTAGTCTTGAACCTGATCTTCTCCTACAGTGGGTGGTTCTTCATTCTCCCAGTTCATATCTCTGCTTTCTGTGACTTGGGCAGTATGGCTCCCGCTGGACCTGTAGAATTTTAAGGCAACAGAAGCAATAGTTTAACCTCTTCTATCTCCAGCCTTGTGAGAGTGGAAACAAAAGGAAAGGGAAAGGTTAAAAAAGTTTTTGTGTGCAATTTTGATTCACGTCATCAATAAAAGAAACTTTTTTCCTTCCTCAATTAGCTAACAGCCCATGTACGTTTTAGCTATGATCACAAGACATGCACAGCACTCTTTAGGGCATAAGTTGCAAAGCTAGGAATCTAACTGAAATGGGTAACTTCTTGGTTATTTTTTCTTCTTCCCAAACATGCTAAATTAAGATGTAGCTGCTAGACCAAAGGCTTTTACTCAGGCAGAAAGTGTCCTTGAGAGCAGAGTACTTTAAAGAAGTTTTTCAGTAATCTGTAACTCTACAACTGCAAAGGTGACTTTGTGACTGAGGAATATGTATCTTCTGTGTACTTCAGGTGTTGCCTCCTTCTGTCTTTCCAAACTGTTGAGATGAAAAACCAAAAGACTTCACTTACATTGGTTACCCCCCAGCACTAAGTGATGGTATGAGTTTACTTACTAGTGCATCAGATAAAACTGCGGAGAGGTGCCTTTTATGTTCATTAACAGATGGTCGCTTTGTTTGGCATTTAGCTGTGGAAAGATCTGCAGGCATTTCACAGCCCATTGTGCATTTGATACAGTGTTCAATAACATTAGTGAAAATGCAGAGCAATATCCTTTTTTTTTTTTTTTTTTTTAAAGACTGTCACTCACATTTGAGGGTCTTTGGCTTAAGGTATATCTTATCCCCAAAATATTGAGAAAAAGAATCAATTTTTAAGAAGTTTGTTCCTGTTCATTCCTTTCTGCTCAGATCTATATCACGTTTCTAACAGGAGTGTTCTGTGCTTTTGACTTACATCTCTTGGTCTCTGTTAAGTCATCTTCTGGATGTTTTCAAATGTTTTTTATTGCCTATTAATTTTTACCTTAAAGATGATCAAGTAGGCAGTCAGATGTCTGTATGCCTTATCTAGACCAAATCTTTACATCTGATTTTGTATAATGCTTCTTTTTTCCCTCCTCAAGATGCTAACTGTATTTGTGATACTGCTCTGCAGGTTCTCTGATTTTCAACATTTTTTTTGAGCATCAGCCATGGGACTGGGTGCAGTGTTTCAGTTTTAGTTGCTTGCTACTTTTACATACCCCATCCTTCCCCATTCAGTATTTCCATTCACTCTAGTATCTTTGTATCCATGAACCACATTAGCCCTTTAAGTAACAACAGGATCTCCAAGTGATGTGTGCCTATGGTGACCTCCCCATCTTTTTTGGCTTCTTTGCTTCTTAAGGTTAAGCTTCTCTGACTTGCAACCTTACCTGCATTCCTTGTTACTAGATACATACATCTGCATTCTGTTGTCTTAAGACTGTTTTGGCTGGAATGAGCTCAGCTTGACAAATAATTGAGATAACTCTGTGTGATATCCTTTCTGTTGTTATTTACCATGCTACTAAACCATGTAATCCATTAATTTTATTGCTGAGGACATACTTATTTCCAGGCAGCTAATAAAACCGATAAGTGATGTAGAGCATAATTCCAGTCACTGTGAACTGCAAAAGGAGCATTACAATTGCATTGTGATGTTATTCAGCAATGACAACTTTTCTGAGATCTTTCAGTTAACTGCTTTTTAATCTATTTGGCATATATTTCTGCTATCCTGTTCGTAAGATCTGATTGATTTGATGTTTGTTGACTGTTGTGATACATTTTTTTTTCTTTGGTTGCTGAATTCAGTGTGAAATCAATAGATTTCACCTTCCTTACTTTTCTCTCCTTCAAAAAGGGGGAACCTTTTTGCATTTATACAGATGAAAATGAGGAATTTTCCATGATGTTTTCAAATGACAGTTCCAAAATACGTCTTTGCTTAGGATACTGAGAAACCCACTGAGCAAGAAATTCCTCTTTGGTTGTGCGTGTTGCTCAGTCCCTCATCTTTTGTCTTACCTGAACCATCTCTTCTGCATCTCTCCCAGCAGGAACAAGTACACGTCAAAAAGTTCTTCGTCCTGGAAACTATTAGCACAGAAGCCTGAGCCACAAGAACTCCCTTTCGCTAGTGGTGGTCGTGCTGCTCAGGTGGGCTAAGAACTTGCTTGGACTGAGTGTTTTTTTTTGTTTTAACCTCCCTTTCTCCTTGTGTGTTGCTTCCTTGAGAAAGAGGAAGTCCTCTTGTAGAGCACTGCAGCGTGGTTGGATTGGTGCATCAACAAAAGAGATGGCCATGGGGGATTTATTTGCTTAGGGCTTAGGTTGAAATACTATAGCCTTAAATTCAGTGCAACAATCTGGCATGACAATGTATTTACTTTGCAATTCTGGTGGATGCTGTCTGATTTCATAGTGATTTTTATATGTATTTTTATACCTTCTGGACCTATAGTGTAAAATGACATTAAGCAACTTGTGCGTCTGAGTCATCTCCAAGGTAACTTTGTTATCAAAACATCGTATCTCAAGTGCTCAAAGTAACACTTTCCACTTGTCTAATTGCACTTTGGCAATCTGTGTTGCTTATACTGCTGCTCTTCAAATTATTGTGTACAGGTGTGCTCGGTAAGGACTTTCCACTTTACTTTTCCCAGTTGTAGCAATTAGTTATTATCTTTTCATTTTGATCCTGAGGCCTGTGAAATAAGTAAGTACGTTTTAGAAATGTAAACAGCATCCTTGAAACGAAACTCTTCATGGTATTTTCTCCTACTGATAATCTGAAGAGGCAGCCTGTGTTTTCTGTTGTCTGTGGCATAATTAAATCTACTTGAATTATACTTGAACAAGAGCTCAGATATCAGAAGAGGGTTTAGCAGCATTGGAAGTTCACAGCTTTTGCATGAGGTGGTAGTGAGGACTTCCCAATACCTGATTATTAAGCTTGTTAGGAAAAGAAGAGACTGGCAAATTTGTTGTTACATACCTGCATCTGTTTTGTCCCTCTCACAGACTTTTCTGTTTTGCTCACACCTTTTGTGTGCAGTAATGTTATGAGGTCACGTTGTTTGCTGCTGTATCAGTGTCCAAAACTGAGATACTCCTGCACCATGCTTATTGTATCTGTCAAATGAAACAGGAATATCTGCTAGCATACAAGAAGTCTGGGCTGCTTTGGGTGTAAGTTTGGTGCCAGAGTGCCATGAATAGACCAACTAGATCATCTTTAAGGTCCCTCCCTTGGAACCCAAGACATTCTATGACTTGATGAGAAATGATCTGCTGTATGCAGTTGGGTTGTTTAGGTTACTTGACTGGTGACTCCATGCCTTCTGTTTTTGCTTCCATCTTTTGTGATTAATTTAATTTCTTTGCCACTTTTTGAAGAAATTTGCAGAATTCGTAGGTGAAAAATCCAATTTATTATTATTTTGTGATGAGTAAGCAGGGCAAGTGAATGCCACAGTGCTCCTTCTTGACCAAGAAGGATGGGAACCTTCTAGCTCTTTTAGCTGTTCTGCTCCTCTACCCCAAAACCCCTGTGCAAAAGGAGACCTACATACCCAGATCTCCTGACTTGAGCAGAGCCTTCTACAAAGCACTTCCACATCAAGCTCTCCATACTCAGGAGATGACTTCGTACAGGGGAAGCATTTCTGTTCCAAGTGGGTTAGCAGCATATGTAGACCATCAGTCAATGATAGGGAGGCTTTGGTGGCAGTACTGTGACTGGTTCCTGGTGTCACTGCCTAGTAGCTGCTTCATTCTGCTACCATGATTGTTTTGTGAACTGTATGGGAGAGCTGATATAGCATTATACGGTGTTATATGTAGCTGTTATATGGCTTTGGAAAAAAAAAAAAAAAACAAAAAACCTTTAAGAAGCTTGATCACGTCTCTGATGTATTTTACAGCATGGCGCTGCCAACACGTGCTTTTGCAGTGTTGGATCAAAAAGCTGAAAGGGTAATAAAAAAAATAAAAATAATAAAAATAAAAATAAAAAAGACTATTCAAGAACCACTTTAACTAATTTTGTTGCCAAATTCTTTGTGTTATCAAGCCACAACTGTGTGTGCAGCTCTCATCCTTTCCTGCCCATCCCCTCCTGGGTGGTCCTATTAGGCAGGGAAGAGGAGGCTTTCGCAAACAAAGTTTGGGCGTTGAACTTGCACGTTCAATAGCAGCAGTGCCCTTCTCTGGTTCACTTCCATTGGGAATAATATGAGGTGTCCTTAAATTGAATACAGCCATTTTGCATAGAACTCGCTGTTCTGTATGGGTGCTCTAAGCCTGGTGTACATATGTACTTCGTGGGAGAGTGTGAGAATGGGCCAGCTTTCTTGATGCCTGATGGCTTTTTTCCGTAGCTAATGACCTCCTGTGCACTAACAGCATACAGGCTGCTAGTAGGGTAGTGCTAACCATGCGTGTAGGCACTTCCTTTTCCCTCTTACCTCCTTTTAGAAGACTTTGCTCTTGAATCTTGTAAATGGGGTGATAATTTCAAAGCAAACAGCTTTCAGTTGCTTCTTGCCAACTTTTGCCCACAAGGTATGTAAAGTAAACAGAGCAGCTGGGAAATTAGATTTCTACCTCCCCTCCTGTTTCAAAGCATCCTAGGATGTCTCTTGGTTCTTTTTAAAGTAATGAGTAAAGTGAGAGAATTAGATTGTCACACCCAAGTTGCCTTTTAATCAATGTATTCATCGCACAGGTCATTCCTATTCCTCAGAAGCTTTAGGAAAACCTTGTAAAATGTGAGGCTTTAAAAAATCTCTGCTATTTGCATATTGAACACAGAAGTATTTCACTGCTTGCTGCAAAGAAAGAAAGCCAAAATATCAAGAATGGGGTGAATTGAAATATAGGTAATTTTCTTCATATTTGAAACAACTTTTGAAGCAGATTTTAGTGAAATATGAGCATTTTTAGCTCTGTTAGGCTCTTGAAGGAAGCTTAAAAAGTTTTCCAGGTGCTACCATTTATGTTTGATAAAGAAACTGTGGGTTTATATACTGAAGTGGCAGGTATAGAGCACTTGCAAGGATCAATATCTGTTGTAGGATACGCAGATAGACAGCTAAGCTCTGCCATCATGCCATTTTAATACAAAGAGAAAGTATTAAAAAATAATAAAAAAAGGAGAAAGTATTACAAAAGTGACTTGAAAAAGTTGACAAGTAAATAGTTAATGCTTAATGTATTTAGCTCCAGCCTAGGTATTGAACAGCCTTTGCCAATTGAGCAATAGAAAAATTTGTTAAATGTGAAAACTAGACCTGAGGTTACTGACCCTGAGGCACGGCTATGAGGGAAAGGCACAGCTCTGAAGATGAATATCCATTATGTGATGCCCTCCAAATGAGAGAGGGCAAGTCCCAAGTGTACAAGGCTTACAGGAATTCAAGTCAACAATCAAGTTATAATCTAATGAGGCCACAAGCACAAACACAACTTCAATTTAAAGCTCACCCATAGAAAGCTGGAGGCCCCTGCTCCAAAAGAAGACTCCTCATTAGCAATTTTGCTCCCTCGGCATGCTTCAAAGGGCAGTATCCCAATAACCCATAGCATTTCTCCTTCACAGGTCTCTGATCCCTTCATAAAAGTAGCTATATACATGGAGTGCTCTCTATTCCTTTTCAGAAATAGGATCTCTATTATATAGAGAGATAAATAATATATAATTATATATAATACCTATAATATATAACATAATTACAATTGATGTGTTTTTAAAGGAAAGTATGTTCTGGCATGTGAAAACTTTCCCTTCATGTTTCCTGAGTAAAGGTTTTGGAACTCATTGAGGGTGGGTATTTTTTTTTTAATAGAAATTCCTTGAGTTCATTAAGTCCAAACACCTGAAAGAATGTAACAGTTTTGTCTTCTGGAATATTTCAGTTGTACCAAATGCAGAGCAGTGAATGCAGCTGCACAGGCCTAGTTTGGCTGTACTTGTGGTCCCTAGAATGTATGAGCTGATTTATTTATTTTTTAATACAGATTTAATCTTATGCTCTTACATTTACTTGAAGGGAGAGGAAAGATTACAATTTGAGTACGTTTTTTAGTCATTTATATATAAGTGTGTGTAATAGCCACAAGGTAAGGATGATGTGTTCTTGTAATAATTTCTTTTTAAATAGTTATGCTTCAATAAAGCATACTTTTTTTGCTCTTTACTTCAAATAAACCTCATCTCAATTGACGTATTCTGTTTTCCTAAGTGAATTTGTGACTATCATTTTTACAGTGCTAAGAGAAATTAGGACTTGAGGTAGCCTTCTGCTTAGTCCAGCCCCCAAAAGCAGACGCTGCTTTGTGAGATTTAATTCTGCATCCACTTTTTACCTGTGTGTCCTTAATGAAGCAAAAGCCATCCAGTCAAATGCAATACAAATATGATGCAGATTTTGCCAAACCCAGGAGATGAGCAGTCCAGCTTTATGGTTGAGCTACAATCAGTCAGAGTAACCTCTTCGTTACGTCCCAGCTCCCATGAGGAAGAAAAGGCAGCGGTACTCAGTGGGACAGACTGTACCAGCACAGCTTGCCTCGTGTGAAGATCAGCAAACAACGTAGGCACCCAGATATTTTGTCCTCTGAGTGGCTGTCTGAGTGCTTTTCCTCCTGCTCAGTGATTAGTCAGAGAGACAATGGCTTACTCCTCTGTCACAACTACAGTAGCTCTTTTTTTGCATGGTCTACAGATGAATCTTTTCTAGATGGTGTCTAGGGTTTTGTTTCTGTTTTGTTTTGTTTTGTTTTCTCTTTGGTGTGATGAGGTTACACGTGAAAATCTTGAGAATGCTGTAATTTTTTTTTTTCCTGGTTTCTAATTTTGGTTATAAATATCTGCCCTACAATAAGATGGACTGATGTACCTCAAATGGAATAGCTGATTTTACAGGGAAATCAGATTGGTTTCCTCAAGAGAACAGCTGTCCAAACTCCAAGCTCTCAGAAAAGGTGGACTAAATGAAGGTGTAGAGATGGAGACACCAAGCCTTTTGTGTATGTGCTCAAGCAGGGTGGGGGTACTTGAGAGAGAAATTCACTTCCTCCTTTGGATTGGGAATAAAGGGGGGTTTTGTCCCTGTGACAATGGAAACAGTGTGGTGATGCTTCTTCCTTCCACTTGG